ACTTTCATAATCACTCACAATCTGCTCTGGACCTCACACGTGTCTCTGCAGTGACTTGTAACATCTTTTAAGACTGAAATATGGGGAATGATGTAGCATAACACAGAAGTCTTGCTGGTCTGTATGCAATTTCTTACAGTACTTTATGAGTAAGTTTCCTCTTTAGTAATATCATGAAGATCTTAAGAAAAAGGTTAAAAATGCATAGAGCTGCCAGCGGTGGCTGGCTTAGTGGCTTCTCTGTTATGTTGAACTACCTGGTGAAGCTGGGAGTATGAATGCAAAAATTGGGATGATATTTCCCTCTATAGTAAAACAATGGGTGAATGCAGACAGCTATATCCTGGATCAGGTTTTTAATTTTGATCAAACAAGTCTCTATCAAAAGTGTTCTCATGGTCCTGCATCTCCAAGCAAGGAGGGCAAAGACACTAATGCTCAGTGCAGTGAAAGAGGCATGTAGTCTATATTTTCAAAGACCATTTCTGTGAAACATCTTAAGTAAAATATTAACAAAACAAAGAGGGAAGGAAACAGAAAAAGTGACACCAATGGAAGAAGGAAGGAACAAAGAGGGAAGGAAACAGAAAAAGTGACACCAACGGAAGACACAAAATAAGACAGTGTACGGGACTCCAGACTCTACAGGGGAAACGCAGAGATTGAGATTATCAGAAATCAGCCATTGGCCATTTGCAAGAGACACATCTAAATACGAGGACAAAGAAAAGTGTGGAGTCAAAAAGTATAGGAAACATTTGCCAGGCAGTGTCAACCTAAAGAAATCTGGTCTGTATCAGGTAAAACAGACTGTGGGGCATAAAGCATACTGGGGAAAGAGGACTGCTATACACTGATGAAAAATTCAATCATACCGAAGATATTGCAAGTTTTAACTTTGTTTGATAGAAAAACTTCATAATAGAAGAGCAGAGTTGACAGAAAACAACAAATCCTCCATCACTGTCATCATAATAGTTAACTTATGAATCACTGGGCACATCCTACAAATGGTTCTGAGTACAGTTTACATATTAACTCAATTAATACTCCCATCAGTCCTGTTCCTCAGAGTTTATTTCTCTCAGAAAATGTTAAAACAAGCTGACAAAAAAATCCTTAATGATAGGAACATCTGGGTAACACCATCAACAAGTTTGGCCTAATGAAATATGTAGAACTCTACAGCTAAGAACTGGAGAATACACATTTTTTTCATCTACTTATACAACATTTATAAATGCAACCAGGCCATAAAATAGTCTCAATAAATATGGAAGGCTCAAACTCATATAGACTCCCTAGGACCACTGTGTGATTTAATTAGAAATTAATAACACAAAACTAAGTTTAAATAGGTCATATATTTGGAAATTTAAAACCATGCTTCTACATAAATCACAGGTAAGAGATTAAATAGTAAAAGAAATGAATAATATCTAGAAATGAATGTTAATAATACTACATATCAAAATTTGTGGGATATAGGCAAGTAGGACATCTGTAAACTTTTTGATTTGTATTAAAGAAGAAAGGTTGAGGTAAGCATCTGGAGAAAGAACTTCTTTAAAGGGAAATGGACTGGGTGAGGTGGCTCACACCTATAATCCCAGCACTTTGGGAGGCTGAGGCAGGAGGACCACTTGAGCCCAGGAGTTTGAGACCAGCCTAGGCGACATAGCGAGACCCGGTATTTACGAAAAAAATTTTAAAAATTAGCCAGGCATGGTACACATGCCTATAGTCCTAGCTACTTGGAAGGCTGAGTTGGAAGGATCACTTGAATCCTGGAGTTCAAGGCTGCTGAGCTATGATCATGCCACTGCACTGCAGCTTGGGTGAGAGAGTGACTCTGTCACTAAAAAATAAATAAAGTTAAAAAAAAATAAAGGTCAATGGAATAAAGCCAAAGACAATGACAGAGGAGGAGAAGGAAGAAGAGGGGAAGGGGCAGGGGAGGAGGAGAGGCAGGAAGAGGAAGGGAAGAAGAAATTAAAAAAAAAAAAATAGAAAAGAAAGGCTCCATAAAGATAAAATTTGGTTTTTAGGTTCTTGGAAAACACTAATAAAAATGATATTTAAAAAAACTAATCCAGAAAAAAGAAAAAAGTATAAATAAATAATATTAGGAATATTGGCAATAAATAGAGGGGATATAACATATACAACAAAAATTACAGTGAGAGCATATAATGGGCAACTTTTTGCCAAAACATTTAAAAACTTACAATGAAACAGATATATTTCTACAGAACCTAGTATAACCTATACTAGTATAACCCACTAGGATCAACCCAGAAGAAGTAGATAATAAAAAATTAGATCAATAGTTACAAGCTTTCCCACAAAGAAGTATCATAAAACATTTAAGAAATAATTTTATTATATATATTATTTCAGAAAAAAGAACAAACACACCAAAATTCATAAGTAAGGCAAAGTAGAACAGACAAGAAAGGAAAATTATAGACCAATTTCAATGAACATAGACCATTTCTGGGAAAAATCTTAAGTAAAATATTAACAAATTCAGCTATGTATTAAAAAAAATACATCATAATCTAGTTGAGTTTGTCCCAGGAATGCCAATTTGGTTCAATGTAAGAAAATTGATTAATGTAATTTACCACTTAATGAATTAAAGGAAGCAGAAAAAATATTTAATGATATTCTATATCAAGTCAGGCTTAAATAAAAACAAACCTCTTGGCAAAATAGGAAAAGAAGGAAAATTCTTTAATTCAATAAAGGGAATATTAAAATCATTCTGGGCCAGGCGTGTAATCCTAGCACTCTGGGAGGCTGAGGCGGTAGAGTTGTTCAAGGTCAGGAGTTAGAGACTAGCCTGAGCAAGAGCGAGACCCCATCTCTACTAAAAATAGAAAGAAATTATCTGGACAACTAAAAATATATATAGAAGCATGGTGGGCGCATGCCTGTCCCAGCTACTCGGGAGGCTGAGGCAGGAGGATTGCTTGAGCCCAGGAGTTTGAGGTTTCTGTGAGCTAGGCTGATGCCACGGCACTCTAGCCCCAGCAACAGAGTGAGACTCTTTGTCTCAAAAAAAAAAAAAAAATCATTCTGAACAGGGAAACATTTGAAGCACTCTCTTTGTAATCAAGGACAAGATAAGGAAGTCCATGAGTGTTTCTCCTCAGCATACTGGTCATAGCCAGCAAAGTAAGATAAGCAAAATAAGTAAAAGGCATAAAGATTGGAAAAGAAGAAATAAAAGTATCATTATTTGCTGGTGACATGACTGTCTCTACAGAAAAATCAAAATAAAAGTGAAAAGATAGTTTAGGAAGGCACCTGGCTCTAATTTTTTTTTTTTTTTTGAGACAGGGTCCTGCTCTGTTGCCCAGCCTGGAGTGCAGGGGCATCGTCACAGTTCACTGCAGCCTCCAGTACACATTCATATATAAAAGTCATGTGTTCTCTACTCCACATAAATTAAGTCTCAAAAATCTATTGTTGAATGAAAGAAAATCAAGTTAGAAAAACATTAATAAAATATGATTTTGTTTATATAAACATGAAAAAGAGACAAAATTATAACAATTTACCCATTGGTGATACATACATAGATACTAAAGCTATGAATAATAACACCAAATTCAGGACAAATTTTACCTCCATGGTAGAAATTAGGAGAAGGATGACTTCATCTTTCTCCGAATTATAAATATATTAACATATATATTTAGCACAAGTGTATGCAGCACAATATATATGACACATATACTGATTTTACCTCATTTAACCTAAAATATTTTTTAAATAAACTTTGAATCAATCAAACTTACTTTAGTTGAATAACATTTTAAATAATTTGGGGAGCTGACCACTTAGTGGGAACTTATGGTGAATTTATGATAATTATGGTAACTTTATCAGCAAATTAATATGTCTTTTGGTAAAATACATAGCCCTACTTTGAGATTAAATACACATATAGAGAATATGTCTCACTATGTTGCTCAGGCTAGACTTGAACTCTTGGGCTTAAGCAACCATCCCCCCTCAGCCTCTTGAATAGCTGGGACTACAGGCATGAGCCACCAAGCCTAATGAGAATATGTATTTTAATATGTTAAATAATTTTACAGAAAGGTATATTAATATATACCTAATCTTTAAGTGAGGTATTTGGCAGAATTGGGCAAATATTAATTCACACTATTACCCAACTAAACTCATCTTCAGCTAATCTGGCAAAAGCAAAGAAATCTATGAAAACATAGGGCTTTCAACCATGTGCAGCACGAGGCTGTGAATGCCCAAACAGCCCTGGGCAGTAATGAATGAATCCTGTTATGTAACAGCCTAATTCTGTTTACACTGTATTGATGACTTTTATAAAAAGAAAACTCAGCTTCTAGGGAAAAAACACATATTGCGCCACAAGAAGACACAGTACAAGCTTTATAATACCCTTAATTGCCTGTGCAAGTCCATTTAGAGAAAGCTTGAGAGGACTTACAAATGCACGCCTTTTGCTACACCCTCCCTGCTAGCAACCTGCAGGAATCAATTAGAAGCCAGGCGGGCAGTGTGAGGCTCTTCATCTTTTTAAAGGAAACATTATGAGCAGCCAAGCTCTTCCAGATGGCCCTGAACCATCTCCTCGGCTCTCAAGAAATTGACTTTCTCTTTGAAAACCCATTAAGAAAGAGCCACAGCCTCCTGAAACCACTGTCCTACATCTGGTCATGATCTAAGTCTCCGCATTATCGTCCTGGTGACTAAACAGATAAACTTCTCAAATCCTAACACTGAAAATTCCCCCCAGATTTAGCATCTGGTCCCCACTAAGGTTAACAGAAAATGAAAGCTACTCTAGTTATCATGGGAGTGGGTTATTTGGGGGAAGACACGGCTGCAGGCAGCCCCAGTAGGGTGCCCTTTTGTGACCACATCAGAAAGGGGAACTTGGGCATGGCTGTCTGTGACGAACACTCACAAGGGAAATGAAAGAGAGACTCCCGCTTTCACCTCACCTTTTCAACATCTGCTTTTGTGACATTGATGTCAGCATCCATTTTCTCAAAGTACTGCTGTGCTCGGTCAGCCTCTTTGCAGTCTCGTTCAAATCGTCTTTTACTCTAAAATCAGAGGAAAATAATTACTTATGAAACCATGAGATTCCTATGAGAAGATATAACTTTACCTAAACTCCAAAAAAAAAAAAAATTCTTGTCTGAATTGATTTATGTCACGTATTCTGAAAGTGATTTTTAAAACTGCATTTATTTCCACCATAACTGTCTAATTGTTGTTCTTTCCATATGACTTATAGAAAAAGACTCTACTTGAGCTTTTCTGGCTCAAATTTTAAATAATGATTTAGGAAACAAACCAAATTCAAATGGAAAAAATCCACAAGGATGCCTCTTTAGTGTTTTTCTTTGTACGTTTTTTACTTACTGATCAATTCAAGCTTAAATTAAATCCAAATTAGAAAATCTATAAGGACATTTCTTCAGCTGCTTGTTTTTCACTTACGGATTCGAGCTGCTTCCAGCAAGTCTCTATGTGCTGCTGTGCTTTACGCCCATCGTGAAAGTTCTGGGAAGGGAAAACACACCAGTGATCAGTACCCCTCTTTCTCATACGAACACAGGAGAACAAATATTCATCCACTTAAATAACATTTAAATGTTGAACATCTAGTATGTGCAGTCCAAAGAAATTTAAGAGTAAAAACATAAAGAGGAAATGAAAAGAATAGTCATCACAGATGAAATGGGTTTTACTTGGAGGAAAAAAACAGTCATGGAGTTCCCTTTAAAACTTCAGATGCAATAATATTGAATTAGAAGGCTTATACATACCACCTGTAAAAACAGGAATGTTTTATTAAGACAGCAATCACTTTGATCATCTTTTTAATTACTGTGAGATATAATTCACTACTATATGATTCACTCATTCAAATTGTGCAACTCAGTGGTTTTCAGTAGAGTTGCAAAACTGTGCAACCATCACAACCAATTTTAAAATATTTTCATCACCCCAAAGAGAAACCCTATACCTGTTAGCTGTTACCTTCCAACTTGCCCCTCCCCCAGTCCTAGGCAGCCACCATTTACTCTCTGTCTCTTTGGATCTGCTTACTGTGGAAGCTTCATACGAATGGAATCACACTGTGTGAGAAATTCTGTGACTGGCATGTTTTCCTTATCTATGATGTTCACTTAGTATGGTGTTTTCAAGGTTCATCCACACCGTCACGTGTACCAGTACTTTATTCCTTTTTATTGCCACATGATTATTTCATGATGTGGCTATACCATGTTTTTTTAATCCATTCATTCAACTGATGGACATTTGGGTTGTTCCCAGGTTTGGGTTATTATGAGTAATGCTGCATTTGTGTAAGAATTTTGTATGGATGGATGTTTTCATTACTTAGATCTTTTTTGTTTTTTAATTTTTTTTCTAGAAACAGGGTCTGGGTACATTGCCCAGGCTGGAGTGCAGTGGCTATTCACAGGCATGATCCCACTCCTGATCAGCACGTGAGTTTTGACTTGCTCTGTTTCTGACCTGGGCCAGCTCAGCTCTCCTTAGGCAGCGTGGTGATCCCCCACTCCTAGGAGGTCACCATATTGATGCCGAGCTTAGTGCAGACAACCGATTGGCATAGTGCACTACAGCCCAGAACCAATGTCCGGACTCAAGGGAACCTCCTGCCTCAGCCTCTGGGACTACAGGCATGCACCACTGCACCTGGCTTAGATGTTTTTAGATGTAAAGTCGCTTAGATGTAAAGTCACCTCCTAGCTATCTGCAAAGGCCCTGAGGCAGGCACTGGTGTGTTGTTAGCCAGCAAAGACACCAGGAAGCTAGATCCAGGTGAGCCATATGGAGAATAGTAGGATATGAGGCCAGAGAAGAAAGGGGGAGATGTGCAGGATCTCGCAGCCCTTTCTGTCTGAAGGAGCTGGAGCCAATGGGTGACTCTGAATATAGGTGTTGTGGGTGACACTGAGTATAGGTGTCTGGAAGGGAAGATTCCAGAAAGGAGGCTGTTGTAGTAATCTGGACATGACGGTGCCTCCGACCAGGTGGTGGTAGTGAGGGGAGGGGTGGGAGGTTCAGATTCTGGGTGTCTTTTGATCAAACCACCAGGATTTTCTGGGGGATGAGATCAGATATGAGAAAATGACATGCCTAGAGTGACTTTGAGGTTGTTGGTCTGAGCTTTAGAAGGAGAAGGAAGTCTCAGAGAAACGGGTCAGAGTAGGGAAGATCAGACACACAGTTTTAGATGGGGTAAGGCTGATATTTCTATGAGACTCCCAAGTAGGACCCTAACACGTTCTTGTATGCATGAGTCTGAGTTCAGCAAGGGGTCAGCACCAAAGACGTTTGGGAGCATAAAATGGGTAGTTTAAAGCCAGGAGACGGGGATGAGATCACCAAGGAAGACAAAGATCCCAAGGAAAGAAATGCTAGCAATATACAGAAATATTAAGAAAATGATGTCTTTTTTTATTCAGTGACCTAAAATCACCAGTTCCCTAAATCCTTTAATATCTTTCCACTGTGACCTCACTGTCTTGGGCAATGTACTGGGGATTTCCCAGACCGCTCTCCACCCTGCTCCATGTCCCCGTCTCCAAGTCCCCTGACTGGCTTGGATCTTGCGAATGGGCTCCCTTGCCCTCTGGCTGGATTATATTTGCTGCAGAGAGGTGCCTGCCTGTGGGAGGGCAGGACTCTGTGCCTGCAACCTCTCGTGGCTGAGACGGTACAGGCTGGCTGGGTCCCTGACCTTGCACACAGCTCAGCTATGCCACTCCTGCAAGGCTCCCGCCTGCCCCGAGGCCTGGGGGCCACAGCAGCTCCCCACTGTGACTGGCCCAGGGTGCTGGACCATCCCTTACTGCTTTTCCTGAACCCACAACCTTGTAAATGCTCCTTTCAATAAGCAACCTTCCTTCAGTTCCTGGCTTGAATGTGCTGCCTGTTTTCTGGCTGACGAGGCAGGCACTAGTGGTAGGGTGCACTGTGGAGAAGGTCAGGTGACAGAAGGTCCCCTAAGTCTGCCAGACCTCTTCAGAACCTACGGTTTAGCGAGTCAGGAAAGCTAGCTGACTACTGGGAAGGCAAAGGAGGAGGAGACAACATCGGATTTTTTTTTTTCCCTAAGAACAGTGCTCCTTTATAAGGGAATGTTTTCTTGCCTCTCTTTGGAGGTTGAGTTTCACTGTTTTAAGCGTCTCTTTGCAATAAGTTTTATCTATCCAGCAATTTTTTTGGTCTCTACAAGCCCAAGGGGAGCCCCTTGGGGCTTCCTTTTTCAACTCTCATAATGGACACAAAGACAAAACAGAAAAGACAAGAGCAGGGCTGTGGAAGAATTAAGAATTAGAGCTGAGGGCAGGGTTAGGAAAACTGAAACTTGGAGGAAGCCACATATATCACTTTTAAAAAGTCTTGAGGGGCAGGGCACAGTGGCTCACTCCTATAAACTCTGGGAGGCCGAGGCGGGCAGATAGCTCAAGGTCAGAAGTTCGAAATCAGCATGAGCAAGATCAAGACCCCATCTCTACTAAAAGTAGAAAGAAATTAATAGGACAACTAAAAATATACAAAAAAATTAGCCGGGCATGGTGGCGCATGTCTGTAGTCCCAGCTACTCGGGAGGCTGAGGCAGGATTGCTTGAGCCCAGGAGTTTGAGGTTGCTGTGAGCTAGGCTGACGCCACGGCACCCTAGCCCGGGAAACAGAGTGAGACTCTGTCTCTAAATAAGTAGGTAAGTAAGTAAGTAAAGTCTGGAGGGAAAGTGAGGGGGCTGGGGGTGGAGAAGAGACAGACAGCGAGGTGGAACAGGCTGGGGAGAGTCCCCAGGAGAGACAGGAGTGCCCATTTCAAACCACCTGGGCTACACTGTGCCCACCCAGGGAGGACCCTTGAGTCCTTTCAGTTCACACCTGGTTACTTCTCTGTCAAGAGAACTAATCCCATTTCCCACGCAGGACCACAGTTCTGCAGTTTGCTGAAAAGTTACCACCATTCCCAGAAATTTCACTTTGAGATTCAAGACAGGCACAAAAAGACAAAGAAAACCCCAGCAGCAAACTCAGGGCTGTACTCTAGGTTTGCTCTCTGTCTTTGCAGCAACTCTTAAAATGGATGTTAACAAAACGAAAGCTCCCTTCCAGCCTAGGGCAGCGCTGAGGGTGGAGAGAGGAAACACACAGAATACACGCAGACAGTGACAGACACTTCCTGGAACAGGTTGCCTGGATATTATAAAAGGAATCGTCTCTAAAGACCAGAGTCTTAAAAAAAAAAAAAAGCACTAGGAATGATTTTGATTGAAAAATCCATATAGCGAATCCTCTTGCCACTCCTTAGTTTAAATGTTTAATAAACATTCATTTATCTTTAAGGCACAGTGTGCGCCTTGACTGTCCTGGTGAGCCTTCTTTAAGGCACAGTGTGCGCCTTGACTGTCCTGGTGAGCCTTCTCCCACTAGGACGCCTCGTTACACTCTGCTTCCATGATTAAACTATCCCCGGAAATATGCGATTACAACCCTACCCTTTCATGTGGCTTGAGACCTAGGTGACACTGATTTTCTTTTCAGTCTTTCAAAGTGTGTGTCCCTCCATCACTTATTTGGCTATAACACAGAAAAAACTTTCTGCGCTGCGTGATCTCTTAGGAAATTAAGGATGAAACAAAAGCCCTCCTTACCACTCTGTGCACACGGTGACCTGAAGAGCAGGGGTCACTTGTCACCAGTTCTATCTTCCCTCTTTTCACCGGAAAAGCTATGTTGACAGTTACAAAGTTAAACAAATAAACCAGCTTACCAGATGTATTTGTTGTTTATCAACAAACAATGGCAGAACATTTCTTCTCTGGACAGTGAGCAAATGTGTGTCTAAAAAGTGTGTCTACAATCTCTAAATAAGGAGGAATTGTTCTCTGAACAAAGATAATAAGTACTTCTTTTGGAGCCATGGAATGAAGTCATCATAGCTCCTTTCTCTTGTCAGAAAAGAGACAGGAAATGCCATCTCTAGAGACCCAGAGAAATGCTCCTTACTTTCTCCTGTAACGAGATGCTTTTAGTTTCATTTAAAACATAATAATAGGCTTAAAAAGAATGCCTAATGGTATCTGAAATGACAGCTACATGCACTTATTTTCATTTCAACTTGTTAGCTGAACTTCAGACAGATAAAATCATCCTTCAAAATTTTTTTAGAAATTTTTCAGTGACCAGAGGTAGCTGAGATAGAAAAAAATCACAGAGAACCAAAAATAAGCAAGCATTAACATAAAGAAAAAAATAAAATGATAAAGCTTTTAAGAAGATTTTACTGCACAACAAGAAATCATACTTAGGCTAAACAAACTCACACAAATAGTATGAGAATGTTTATTATTCGCATTCTGCAATTAGGTACAACAGCTGCTCATTTTTCCTATATATAGAAAGATTCAACCAATAACAGTTAAAAAGGCAAAATATGGCACTGATGTGAGAACAGCTATTTCAGAAAAAAAAGTAGAAAAAAAAGAATAAACACTCAACTGAGAACA